GTTTTTTATCACCACACTTTTCAGGAAAGAGAGCTCTACTTTTATATAGAAGTTTCTGCCTTATTTTCAAGAGATGAGTAAAAAGCAGAGGACAAAAGCAGAGTGTCCATTGGTTAATTCCTCAAATGTCTGCCAAGCCTGTATTAACTGTGTCAGCAGCACGCTGAGGCCAGGAAGAACCCGGGAGCCCAGGACTGGCCAGCCTTCTGGCTGCACACTCCTGCAGCTGGACTGGGGCTGCCTGTCACACTGGACGTGGAATCCAACTTTCCCTTTCTGAATGATGACTCCTCGTGCGTTCTCACTGTGGTTCAGATAATCCCTTCATCCACAAAGCCTTAACTCTACAACTTGATAGCCTTATCGCCTCTCCTAGATTGTGATGTCAAATGAAAACTAAAGAACAGGTGAGTGTCCACAGGGTGGAGAGTAAATCCAAGTACTCTGCTAGGTAGGGCATTCAGTTCGTGAATTGGCATGTAAGTAACGGCAATTCGCCCGTCCCAAAGGCAGATGATACCTATCTAATTCAGAAGTCAGTGACTACTGTTCATGGGCCACATCCAGCTGGGCTTCTAAAGCAAAGCTTAACCAGAGCAGGGCACAGCAGGCTTCAGCAGAGCCTCACGGTCCTCCTGCTCCTGGACAGGGGAGGACACAGAGGCTGCTACGGGAGCACTGCCCACCCAACCACCTGTGCTCCTGAGGGACTGTCATGAGGCAGCCTCTTGTCATCTTTGGGTTCTGGGGTGCCCCTGACCACCCCCTCGAGGGAAGCTGCAGGCTCTCACACTCGGCAGTGTGCAGACCCGACTCCTGAGCACACTAGTTCCCCTGTTGCGAGATCACCTGGCTGCTTATGCACTGGGACAGGGCACACGGGAACCAACGCCTTTTCTTCTTTCACTTGGCTCCCTGTATAAGAAGCAAACTGCACATAAAGCAGATCACAGTTTCCCCGCCTGCGAACCTGTCAGCCTTGCTCGGCCCACAGCCTGGCCCTGTCGCTGTGGTCACGCTCCAGGGCAGAGTTGAGCCCTGGCAGCAGAGAATTTCTACCTGACAAGCCTCAAGGATTTTCTTTCCCTTTGCAGAGAGAGCTCCCTGAGTCAATGATCTAATCAGTGCTCTATCCTTTAAAAGGACAAAGTTCCTGTCATAAGCTCTCTCATCCCTCCTGCAAGGCTCCTTTTCTAACACTAAGGGCTGCAATCCTCAGTACTGGGAAGGTTACCACATTTCCTCAAAGGGAAATAACAGCATGATTTTGAGATATGACTGTGAAGCCCCAGTCCTGTGGCTGGCCTTTGGTTTTTGTTTTGTTTTTTTGGGGGACACCGGGGATCAAACTCAGGACACAGAGCTTGCAAGGCAGGCAGCAGCACCACTGAGTTAAATCCCCGGCCCTTGGCCTTCGCTTCCTAAAGCAGTGAAATGGGAAGACTGAGAGGTCTTCCAAGAGCCTGTCTTTCCTCCAAGTGCAGCTTACGACTTGGCATTTACAGCAGGTGATAATTAAGTCACCAACTGTTCTAGCTTTTCCACCTTGTGCCTCCCCGTGGGGACCTTTTTTTCCACTTTGAGACCCAATGCTACTACTGCAGTTGCCCCACCATGAGCCGGGAACTTGTGAGTCGGTCTTCGGGTTTCTCAGATTCCAGGCCTTTGTCAAACTGTACTCAGAGCTTGGCCCTCTGGATTCGAGGTTCCTCAAACCCTGCTAAATATCATGGCATGTTATAAGACTTAAGTGGGGTCAGTCAATTGTAGTATAAAACAGGAAGCAGATGGAGAGTAAAAGCTTCTGATGCATCCCATCCTAAGGAGTAAGCATCCATTCCGGGAGCTGCCTTTCCTTCGCATCATTTTCCCATGCTATTTGTTAAGTGTCCCAGAATGCTAACATTAAAACAAGTTTATTTGACTTTACCAACAAACTCAATCAAAATACAAATTTTAAAATATTGTTCAGTAAGATGATCTTCCTGGGGAAAATGCATGCTTTGAATCACAATGACTGTCGGCTGTGGACAGGGTCGGGGAGGCTTTGTCAGGACCCCCAGGAGCAAGAGTCACCAAAATGGGCAGGAGTGGAGACACATCTTAGAATACTTCAGAAAAATGGGACAAGAAGCCTGCTTCATGTTTTTTTGCTCTGCCCGACCCCAAGCGTAAAAAAGAAGTTAGCGGGAAAAACCTTGAGCAGCTGAGTCCTCACTTTCCTGACTGCAAGGAGCTCAAAAGCTCCTCCTACGGAAACAGCCGGCTGCCCTCAGCATAGCAAAGCAGAGAGCCAGAAACACAGCACACACCATGGGCTCAGCAGACAGGCCCTGACCAGGGTCTCGTGCTGCAAGGTTATGTGAGCTGGTGCAGGACAGCAGAGCTCTGCACTGTCACCTCGTGACATGCACTTTGCAGGTGACACCTGCTTCTCCCTGAGCGTGGCTGTGATGACCCAGGAGCCTGGATTAAAACCCAGCACTACGCCTAACAGATGAGACAGATCCGTGAGATGTATGACTCCTCATCACTCACAAATGCTTCACCAGATATCGCTGGGCACTGCCCGTGACAAACAGACACTCAACAAGTGACATCGGTGAGCAAGATATTTGAAGGATCAAATGGGTGATATTTACATTCGAGGACACTGATCATTGAGTCAAGCTCAGTTCCCCTTTCTAAATACTTCAAGAATCTATGTATGAAATGCATTTTGTAATACCTCCTCCCAAATTTCCAATATCCTACTAGGAAAAGGGCTTTATAAAGAAATTAGTGTGTGGCCTGTACCCAACTCGTATTCCATTGATATTAGTGTACTCTTTCAGAATATTTTCAGAAAATTAAAATTACTTTTTTTTGTAAAAGACACCATTCTCCTCCTTGGTTCATAAAACAAACAAATGAACAAAAATATCTGATCGCACAGACATAAGTGTATAAGAATAGCTTCTTTTCTCTAGTGAGTGTGAACTGGGGAGGTTTCCCTCCTTGTTTCTCTGTATCAGCGGCCAGATACAAACCACCACACTCAGAGTGCAGACTCATCACCTCTTGCTCTGAGTGACTGAACAGTTAACAGTAGGGAAAACCAGCTGCAGACAGAAATGTGAGACTATCTTCGCCAGCAGCCTGATGAAGACAGATGAGAGGCCGGGCCTCCTGCTCCTCAAAAGAAAAAGGAGACCCGGGAAAGCTCCCCGGGACTCTGTGGCTGGTGGCTCCAGCCTGTGGGTTCATGACTGGCTTGCAAAGCAGCTGTGGGAGACCAGCAGCTCCGTGCTGTCTTTGCAACCTGGCGTGGGAATTAGGTCCCTGAGATGCACATTTGAAGAGCTGAGCTGTTGTAACCGGGACTCAATGAAGCTGAGCCATCTGATAAGAAGAGCGAGTAGCCTGGTGCTTTGAAAGCCACACACTCCAGTTCTGGCAGCAGAACCATCCTGCAGACAGCTGTGTCTTCCTGTGCGTTATGCTGTCACACTCCCAAATTCACCTCTGGGACCAGAGGTCATGGAGCTGCAGCTGAAAGACCAGGGGCCCTCTGGCTGTGTGTGGTGTGTAATAGGCCCGCTGGCTGCACAGTGACCCTCCTATCACCCTGGAACCATGGACAGCTGTGGAGAAGTCCTCCCCACCCTAGGCAGGTTCTGCAGGGAACTCAAGTCAGAACAAATTGCCAGTAACACAGGTGACAGCAAATGGTTGTCAATAAATATCACTATCTTAGTAATCTTCCCAAAGCATTGTTCGCTGGGAAGGCCCTGACAGGATCCTTTAATCCTCTGATGACAAAGGAGGCTCTGCATGCTAGATTTGATTTTCCAGAATGGTCTTAGAAGGAATATTATAATGACTACACATAAAACCTTCCTGCTATATAAGCATATTCCTCTGCAGAAAGCTTTTGGTTTTACACCATATATCTTATCTCCTTTGATTTTACACCAACTCACACTGTTAGGAAAGAACGTAAGATCTGACATACTTTAGGAAACAGGGTCAAGAAATGGCATGGACAGGTCTGTACCACGAGTCTCGGCCTCTATGTCCTTAAGCTACGGCCCCACACATGTTGTTTAGAAAAAGCATGACCTGAATGGGGTAGGTTTGAGTGATGCAGCAAATTCCATTTCTACACTAAATATTCACTTGTGTATTACTGGGGGAGAATGGAGCTGAGCAAGAATAACGGTCCCTCAGAACCCTGAAACTAGGATTTCCCCAAGGACAACTTTTTTCAGGCCTAAGAATACACGTGCAATTTCCAACATTAAAATACTGGTCACATTTTCACAGTATAGATAGCCCCTTTCCATTTCCTAGGTACCTGGGCCCACATTTTCCACATTAAAATCCAAAGACCTCCATGATCAAAAGCAATACCCCATGGGAGAGGACAAGACTGGCCTGGCGGGGGAAGGAGCAGCACCTGGGCTCCCTGTGCCTACAGGACACGCCCCCATCTTCCGCGGCCACTGCAAGACCTGAAATCCCACAAGGGAGACAGCAGCCAAGGAAGGAGGTGCCCAGGGCAGCAGCCTGTGGAGCTTTCCAGAGAGGACGCCCTGGCAGTCCCACTGGCTCTTCAGCTCGGGGTCATCAGAAGGAGAGCTTTGACCTAGGAGTACACATGTGAGAACATCCTCTGTCCAGAGAGTGTGTTTGTGTTTGGCATTCAAATAAAACATAAGCACAGGCTAGAGTAACACTGAATATTCGCACATCACTGAGAGCTATAATTCAGGGAATACTTCATTTTCACACGGACAGCTGCTCACAGAGGTTACCACATGGCTCACCCTCTATGGATACCTTGCAGTTGTCTCATCAGTTACTCCATTGGTCTGAGAACCTGCATTCTGGGAAGCACTGAGGTACGCAGAATTCAAGGTCCTGGAGCCAATGGACCACAGGGAAAGGGGAAGCCTTCGGCTCCCATGCCCTCCCTCAGGGTAAGCCTTTCTAATGCAGCAGTGTGTGCACCAGCCTACCTGCGCGTGTGGTAGAACCAGCACCTCTTCAGGGGGATCTTGGCCACGTGCTCCTGCAGACCCACAAACAGGACACTCTGGCTGTGGAGGATCTGCAGGCTCCGGATGGGCTCCCTCCTTCTCTCCGGGAAGAGCTCAATCTCTTCCAGCAAACAGCTGCTTGAGGTCTGATTCAGGGGTGCCCGTACTTTCTTAATGGTGCCATAATCTGTGAAGGTGATAAGGTGGGAAGAAAATGGGTCAACGAGTTTCACGGCTGCTTCCCAATTAAACAGAGTATTCAGCACACACAGCCCTGGCTAGACTGGAGTAGACTTATCTGAACATCTTTCAAAAGTGGAGACACGCGGGTTACCTCCAGACCTGCTCCTGTGTCCATCCTGGCTGTGGAGCTCATGCACTGTGTTTTTAAAGCTTTCCAGTCAGGCTAACAATTAGCCAAGGATGAGGGCTGCTCATTTACTATTTGCCTATCCCAGTCACACGACAAGGAACAGGGAGCACATTAAAGGATGCTGTGACCCAAAGTAGGAGGCTTTCTGTGGCGAACACCAGGAGAGAGAAATCCTCAAGGGACAATCTTGGGTCTCCAGCATCGGAGGTGAGGCCTGTGCTGCCAGGGCAGGGAAGACACAATGTGGCTGGCAACTGCAATACACAGGCCAACTTGAAGTGATGGAGCTTCCTCCTTTCCCTGTGGGGAAGCATGGACATTTTTCTCCATCTCCCTTCTTCCTCGTTCTTGTCATCTCCTTCCCCTTTCTCTTTAGGTCCTGTTCTTTGGAATGCTTTTCTTGCTCTCCACTTTCTTCATTCTTTCTGGTGCTCCTTTGCTGCCCTGACCCAGCTCTCCCAGTACCAGGTTTTCTACTCATCGGTGTTTATCTGAGCTTATATATGAGCTGGGCTACTGACACTGCTGAGGGTGAGGGAGCTGGGACCAGCACAGGCTCCCTGCTCAGGCTACAAGGGGCACAGGACAGGGTCCCTTCGGCCCCCAGCGAGGGACACACTGTGGCAAGCACCTGTGTCTGGGGTGCACATACTTGAAGCCCATGACTCCCTGGTGTCTTGCAGTGTAAACCCCACTGCTACCAGCCTGCCCATCCAGGGCCAGAAATCCAGCACTCAAGATCCATCACCTACGCCAGAAATCATCCTGAATACACAGAATGGATGAAACTCACCATGATCCTGAGTTTTGAAACAGCAGAATTCCTGATTTGTAAACAGTGTGTGAGGGTAAAATCAAGAACTTCTGGCTTGAAAAGTCTTTGGACAGAAAATACCTTTCATTTTTCTATCTCCGGTCAAGTCCTCAGAGACTGAGGATATTTACATTTAAAGGAAAATACATATGCATACATGTACATGGCTGAATTTACTTGACATGTATATCTGAAACACCTTCTGAGAACATTTGGCGATTATGAAGTGGCTACAAAGTATATAGCATCAGTAAGCAGTGGCTTAGTTTTACTTCAAGGTGGCTGGTTCAAAGTACTGCTTTTGAAAAAGATCACAATATGCTAACATTTGCTATGTGCTGGGAAGACTAAAAACAGTGTCTGAATTGGAGGAAAGAGATTGTGTGAGTGTGGGAGACAGAGCTAGAGTAAGGATGAGAAAAGAGAGGGGTTGGGTAAAGAGACAAAGGAGAAGGAGAGAGGAAGATGGGGGTAAGAGAGAGGAGGGAAAGGAAAAGGGGAGGCCATGGAAGAGCAGCTGGGGTCCCGCTGGAGAGTCGTGCCTTGGGACTCACAGTATTTTCCCACCAGCGTGCGTGGCACAGGAAACATGGGTTCCAGATATTCAACTGTTTAACAAAGACTCCTTGATGCATATTAGGGATTTTTTTTGTTTTTTTTTTTTTGTTTTTTGTTTTGTTTTGTTTTATTTGGTGATGACTGATCACTCTCATGAACCTGTCCAAATTAATAAAAGACCAAATGTCATTATCATAAAGCTCTTCAAAGTCTTAGGCAATTGAAAAGGATTCAATTTTCAAAGATCTTTAATGATTTGACTTGAATTAGTCATCACTGATCAAAAACTTACAGTGCTCATCTTGTGTTTGATTTTCTAGCTGCGGGGTCTAACACAACTGCAGGGCTTGGTACTTCTGAGAAAGGTACATGGTGTGGGTTCACAGCCTCCCCCGTCCCTCCTCATCTGTGAGTATCTAACTACTCGCAGAGACCACTCTGAATGACCCTCTTCCCTCAGCCATTGCCAGAGCCTCTTCCTGTTTCCTGTTTCTGTGCTCACCCACCCTCAGTCTCAGTCTTGTCTCCTACGGTGACCCATGGGATACTAACAACTGTGGTCTCTGTCTTCCCGGCTGAGATTGGCCCTGCACCTGCAGTGGAGCCTCAAGCGTCTGAGAACCACAAGGTCCTACTCTCCTGGTCACCACTGTCTTGTCATCTCCTACAGCCTCGTCTCAAGGATGATGCTCCATTAACCCCAGTGCCACACCAGGGACTGACCCCCTGTGGGACCCTCCCCGTCCTCGCCAGCTCACCTGGTCCACTCTCAGCTGCTCCTTGCCAACCCCTCACCTCCACTGCCCGATTTTAGATCACCTTTCTCCCCTGCCTTTCCCCAGACAGATGCTCTACTCCCCCTCCCTCTAGAGTCAGCATTCGGCACACATTTGAGGATGCAGCTCTTCTGCCTCCATCCCTCAGGCTTCATCCCAGTCTAAGGTCACTGTACAGTGACCAGCGGTGCAGTGCTGGACCTGGACCCTCTGATATGTGGCTGCATCCCACCTCTGCCTCTCTCCTCGCTGGCCAGCAGCCTTCAGAACTTGTGCACAGCATTAAGAACCTTGGCTGTCCTAGCCTGGTACACGCAGTTCCTCTGCCCAAGATGACAGCTGGCAGTGTCCACTTTACAAAACAGACCCTCTCAACTTCGTAGAGTGGCTACTGCTGTGGGTGCAGGTCGGGAGCTGGAAAACAGTGAGCAAGTGAGACAGGAAAGAAGAAAGGGAGAGGAGAAAATGAAGGGGGAAGGGAGGGAAGAGAGAAGGAAGGAAGGAGGCAGGGAGCAACAGAAAAGGGAGAAAGACTGGACTACAATGAGGACATCATGATTACTCCAATATCTGCTGTAACGTCTTTCTCGTGAGCTTTAGTAAGACTTATATTGGTCAGTATGAAGAGGAAACAAGAAACCTGTATTTTCCAATATGGAAGGATTCCAACCTCAAGTGTCATGAAAGTGTCAATGGAAATCATAATAATAGATCTGATCAAATATTAACTGAAAATTTTTGATAGATAAAAAAGCCCATACATGTCTTGTATATCTTAAATTCAGTACTCTAATCCAAGTCAGTTGCAAGAAAAAAATGCCAGAAATATACAAAAGCTTCTTAATCATTTTTTCTCTGTACTAGGAACTGAATCCTGTGCTTTTACCCTGAGCTATGATTCAATTCTATTTTTAAAAATTTGTATTATTATTATTATTATTATTGTTATTATTGTTATTCACAGATTCTTCACTAAGTCCCTAAGTTGCCAGTGCTGGGCTCAAACTCATGACCCTCCTGTCTCAGCCTCCCAGAATGTTGAATTACAGGCATGTGCCACTTTGCCGAGCTGCTGCAAGATCTCTAAGTGGGACTGAGCTGACAGGACAGCTGTGATGTGAAAGCAGGGATGATGGTTATTACATGAACTTCCAGTCATCGTTATGCTGGGTAGCTCGCGACTCATGCAGAACAGTCCAGAAGCGTGCATATGTCAGAAGATTGCTACATTAAGCACACAGTGTCCATTTAAACTTAACTCCACATAAACCCGGAACAGTATCTGAGTGTTGGAACGTTACTATATCCCGTTCAGTATCCCCCATACACTAAATGAAATTCAGGTTAAATGTGTGCCCAGTATTCTCATTTGGTAACAAACAGAAGGAGGAGGTTCCATCCAGATTATGTGCTTCCCCCTTTGTCTCATGAACTCTGGCAGAAGTCTTAACATTGACCCAGCATTCGGGTCTGGGTTAAGGGGACAGAAGTGAGCGTTCTGGGCATGGGAGCGGCCACCTGCCGCCCTCCACCAGCCACCCATCTGGGCACCAGCACAGGCAGCATCTGTTCCTGCAGGCTTCGCCTCTCTGGGTCACGAGAAGCTAACTCACCCCTGCTTTGGGGGCAGCACCTACTCAGGACCTCTGGCAAACACAGTGCGACTTGCCTGTTTCCTCAAAAAGTCTGTTTCAAAAATGTGAGGAGCAAAGACGAAACCAAATTCAAGCAACAATAGATGTATGCAAGTTGCGTGTTCACTCGAAAGTCAGTAATCCTGGGAATTACAGCCCAAAGAAACGAAGGCCGGATAAGGCATCCTAACCAGCTCAGCCCTCCGATAAGCAAGGGGCTTCTGTGCCTTGCTTGCTTGTGATGAGAGCAGACTGTTCCTGGCACAGGTCACCAGATGCAGGTCTAAACAATTCCTGATCCTGGTGTTTGTTGGTCACCGATGAAGTCAGGGAAGACAGAGACAAATCCAGGCTGAGTCGAATTGCACTGTTGAAAGCGAATCATGGTAACGACAGAGGTAGTGACCTCAACCTCAACAATCTGAGACGAGGAAAATGACCAAAGGGACAAGTCAGAGTCGTCGATGGAATAGTTTATAAAGGTAAAGTTTGCACATTGCTGCAAAGAATGTAAATTCAATGTTCAATGTGACTGCCAGGGAAGAAACATCTCCCCAACACTCACCAGGAGACTGGGGCATAAACTGGAAAACAAAAATCTCCCTAAAGCATCCCAGGCATAAGAAATGATGCATGGACACTGAGGTCTGTGTCTCCCACCTGCACCTGCTGGACAACGGGTCTGGAGTCCCGGACAAAAGAGGGGTTTGGCAAACAGCAGAAGAGCAACAGAAAAGCAAACTACACTCCTCAGCGGGAGAGAAAACAGGACGCGGGCTTCCAGGAAAACACCAGGACAGAGGGCGGCCACACAGCTGGAGGGACAGATGCCCCCCATCTCACCTGGCAGAGGGATGAGCCCTTGGGAGCTGCTGAGACCCCGACAAACCCTCCTGGCTGAGCAAGACCTCGTGGGTTAGATGACTGACTGCGGCCACAAGACTGGGTCCTATCTTAACTGCTCAGTGGGGCACAGGCAGGGAACAGAGACCCCTTGAGTGAATGCGATTGTTGTTGGCTCATTGAGAACCAGACACAGTGACCCCACAGGGATAATCTAGCGGCAGGGGCGGGTGTGTGTGTGTGTGTGTGTGTGTGTGTGTGTGTGTGTGTTTCTCTTCCTATTGTTTTGCAAAATTTCCTTTCACATACAGCTCAGGCTATTACCTACTTTTCTTTGGAGTGTGGCTTCTCTCAAACTTTCCAATCTCCCCAACAGAAACAGCGAAGCTGACAGGACTTTTATCACCTGCAACCTGACCAGTGCAGCACATCCCTTACCACTGAGCTCTTTCACGTCCCAGAGGCTCAAGCCCCAGGCTGGCACTGCCAGGACAATGAAGCACTGTGGAGGCGAGGTATGAGGGTGACTTGGAAGTCACCGGGATAGGGTGCTAGTGGGCTGTAAGAGGAACAGTTTTCTTCCACTACACACCCTCCATGATGCGCTACCCCGTCAGAGAACAAGAGCAACCGGGTCAACAGGCATAAACTGGAATCTCCAAATCTGTGAGAGAAAATAAAGCCCTTCTTCTCCTAAGGTAATTATCTCAGGCGTTACCCTAATAGAAAGCCGACTAACAGAACACCCTAAATGCACATTTAGAAGAAACCCTGACACACTTATCCCTAAAGGAAGATATCAAGGAGAGAGAAATGCAGTCTCCAGCACGATGTGCAAACAAAAATTATAGAAAGCACGGTCATCTTCCTCTCCATTGTGGTAAGAAATACCCCAATTTTCTTAATCCAACAGGATCAATCTTTGAAAGAGAATATGAGTGACATCACGTGCTATGGCCATCTCTAAACGGGAATCTTCATCATCCTTACGCTTTGTGAATTACACTTGCAGGTAGACTTAGAGCTGACAAGGACCGTAACAGCGTGGTGAACTCTGCGGGTGAGGAAAGCGTGGTGCAGAAAGGTGAAGTGAGTTTCAAAGCTCAGACTACGGCACCAGAGCTTAGGCCTCCTTCATTCGTGGTCAGGGCTTTCTTCTGCCTTTTCAAAGGTCTCAGTGTTCTGAAAGCATAAAGGTGGTCAATACAATCCCTGTAATAGCGCATCAGACATGGGATGGCTGCTGAGACCCCTGAAAGTCAGCTGACTGATAGAACAGAATATTAAGTAGAGACTGGTGATTGAGATAAGAGATGAAGGTATGACTTATAGACGTGTGCTTATCTTTTTGTAGAATTCACTACACAGACAACTAATACACAAGCCCAGAACAGATCTGATTCTTCTATGAGGCTTAGGCTCCGTCTCTATGAGCTCCTGAAGCTAACAAAAGAATGGACAATGAAAAAAAAAGCTTCTGATTTATTTCCTTTTTCTAAAGGAGCATTTAATAACACCCTTAAATTACTAGAAGTTCTCTGTTATATAGGGTGAGATGTGCAAAATTCAGTTATTGGTAGTTGAAATTATATTTTTAGAACTGTGGGCTATTTTCTAATTTTCAATATCAAAGAGGCTAAAGAGGGTTTAATAGTCTCAACAAAATTTTATTTTTCATCTTGACAGTAAAGGTCAACGTAAACAAATTCAAGTGCAGGAGTCTCATTGGGCAAATAACTACGTGCTGTAGTAAGAGGAGGCTACAAGCTCACCATGTCCCCCTGGCCCCCGAGCCGAGGTCTGAGTCCTCCGTGTCCCAGGAGGTGACACACGTGGGTGGGAAGGATGATTACGGTGAATCATCTCAGAGGAACAGCAGATCAGGATACAGACGGGTGAAGGAACAGAGGGAAGACCCCGTGAGGACACGGCAAGAACCCCAGGAGCCCAGGAGCGGGGCTGCAGGAGGAACAAGCCCGCGGACACCGCGGGCGTGGACTGCAGCCACCAGCGGCACAGGAGACGGTGCCCGCCGGCTCAGCCACCCAGTCCGATTGGACCCCAAGCCCACAGATGCTGGCGTTCTCTATTCAAAACAGAAAATATAAAATATAGATTCAGCCACCCACATCGTTTGTTCAGAGCAATTTAAAGCCAGATCGTGAATTATGTATCTGTTTCTTCCAAATTATAATATAATTAGATGGTATAACTCAAATTCTGATGGAAAGAGATTAGAAATTATATTTTAGATTCGGTTTTTAATCTGGTGTGGTCGCAAGACTCATAAACACTATTGTTTTAAATAGTTTTATACATTTTAATGAACCCTCTAATACATATGGATGTAACTGACAAAATTATCAGAGCACGGTAAACGACATGGCAAAATTTCACAAACAATGCATTTTGGTAAACATTGCATGGATGGTATTATTGTCCAAAACCTTTATATGAACGTTTCTGGTGAACTCTGGAGGAAAATTAGAATTAAATTAGCATTCAAGAAATTTCACATATCTGACCAAAAAAAAAAACCTCTGATCACAATGACTTTCTTATTGGAGAACTTATAGAATTTTAGTTTTATCAACATTTTAATAATTTATGAAAACGAATCTTTAAAGGAGAAAAGAAAGCAATGAGAGATGGAGTGAGGCAGGGAAAAGAAATACGGTTACTCTGGTATAACACTTACTATCACCAGAGATAACTTTGCTTTTTTATACTTGTATATGGCCAGATCGGCTTTCACAACCCATTAAAGCTCATCACTGATTAAATGAATGCCTAAGCAATACTTACAAGAAAGCCACTTTATCTTACTGTTTCATGGCTTAAACCCGGATATTCCTGAGAACCCAGAACAAGGGGAAAAGACGCAGAAGTACATCTATGCTAAGAACAGCAAACCAGTGCACTTGCAAAACATGAGATAATTATATTTCTTTTTTTTGGTACCGGGAATTGAACTCGGGTCCTTGTGCTTGCAAGGCAGGCCACCGAACCACTGAGCTAAATCCCTGGCCAAGATAATTGTATTTCTTCTAAAATATAAACAACTCAGGGTGGAGTTGTTACACACTTGACATTTGTAAAAATATTCACTTTGTAAGAAAATAAAAAAATGTAGACCAACAAAAAAAAAATTGTGTGGGAGGATGTGATATAAAAATGAAAGGGATTATCAAAAATCATTTGAGGACTAAATCTGTTATCTGTGCTCAATTTTTTATTTGAAATACTCCTTTACTTATATTTTAAGGGAAAGTTTAGCATTCAACTTTCTGTGGGCCGAGTCCAAGACAGGAGTCGCACCTTTGAGAGGGACAGGTAGCCGCTGTGACAGGGTCACCGGGAACCCAGCTGCCACTGCACAGGGACCCCAAGACCACGAGCCAGGAAGCTGAACTACTTCATTTACAATGGTGCACTTAACTCGATTTGACTCTGTGCCACTGTATCCGAGGACCATTTTCCTCACTTGTCTCCTTGACCCAGTTACTCCAGAGCAAAAAAAACCAAACCAAACACACAAAACCCCACCTTTTGTCTTTGCATCTGCCCCTCTCCCAGCTTTATCAGTGCAGTAACGATGAAACGCCCACTCACTGGGCAGCACATCACCATAGCAACAGGTCATTATGTAAAGTTCATCCATTGGGCTGGTCATTATACCAAAGCAGCAGCAGCTAACGCGCTGTACAAGTTCTTTCTCTTAACTTGTAATTGAGTGAATGAATTAAATTGGTCCTGGCACTGGGACCTCAGAATTGCATTTATATATCAGAGAGGAATTAAGAGAGGTAGGGGGAGAGAGAGAGGGACAGAAAAACCAGGTCTCCTTGGCTAGTGCATGCCTGAAAAGGAGGTTTTAATTAACTCCATTATCAGATCCAACTGAAGGCTTATTTTTCCCAAAAAGAGTATGTTAGCCAATTTAAGCATTCCCAGTCATAGATTCAAGGTCACGTATTTGTAAAGCCCAAAGTATGATTTAAAAGCACACTGTCCTACTCCCTGCCCTCGGCACGTAAATTCCAGTCAGGCACCAGGGCACACGGTCTGTCTCTCCTGCTTCCATAACCACACCTGGGGTACAGCAAGCGTTCAAACAGTGCCATGGTCCCTTGACTGGATCCTAGACCCCCGCGGCTCGGCTTAGACTCCTGGCTCCAACTCTTACAGGCTGTGTGGACAGAGGTTACTCAACTAACTCCCTGTGTCTTTTTAGCCCTGGTGCCCGGCTTGGGGCATTGGGCTATTGAATTTACAGGGCCGTCTATAAAGATCTGTTATTAATATTTTCTGGCTGCTGTTTGGCACGCAGAGGAAATGTCCTACTCACATTTCGTGTGAAATCAGCCAGCTCCCTGCCCCCCTTACCTCTGGTCACACATAAATAGAGGGGAAATGATTTCTCTTTTACGGCGGCTCCAACTCCTTGTGAAACAAAACCTCAACAGCTTCTTTCAGCTAAATCACAAGCTGGCGCTTATAGGAAATTTACCGCTGGAGTTTCCTGTGAATAAAAACCGTATTACATTTAAAACAAGGGTGCAATTAATGGAGCCCTCTGGGATGTTTTCTAAAGCTCTCTTCTAACCCCACAGCTTAAATCTAACTCCAATCATTCTGTTAAGGAAGCAATTCAAGTTTCTAAAAGGAAATTACTTGCTTTAGATGTACTGCAACTAATTTACCAAACAACCACCCAGTGGGCAGCATCGGAGGCCGTGCTCCGACAGTCACCAGGCGGTAACACAGCACCGAGACCCCTCTCACCCCCTGCAGTGAGATTTACAGTGTCTGCTCCGTCAATTGTCCATTGAGATGGTTGGGAAAAATCTATGCTAAGCACTTTTGCAACATGTATTTAAAGAATGAGAGCCCTTTACTCCATGGAGTAAGACGTTATTTTGTCATTTTTCTGAGTTGCTGCCTGACACCCATTCTGAGCTGGTGCCCAAGGTTCTAAGAGTATTAGTAGCTTGAGTCTTTGTGAGCTTTCTTCAAGGCATGACCATGTCCATTTCTATGGCACCCAAGATGACCTGGGGTCTCCATTAACGGCCCAGCATTAAAGACAGATTTTCCATGCACTCTCAGACTTACCACATGCAACAGGGAATCAGTATCCAAAACAGCACTTGGTCTCCTCTTTGGACTATCTGTGTATGTACCCGAAATCTCACTCAGCTCGGCTCACCCCACCTTTCAGCCTCACCTGCTTTCTCTACACCCACCACTCCAGCTAAACGCAAGGTATTGCTCTTTCCTGAACAACCCCTGCCGTCCTGTATCTGATGTCTTGTGTATCCTGTGCCTTCTCTCCAGGAAGTCGCTCCCTACCTCCCACCAGGCAGCATCTACCATCTCCAGGAATCAGCACCCGCACCTCAGCTCTAGAGCAATGTCTGAGCTGCTTGGCCCGGCCAGTGCACCCTAGATCTGTGTGCCCCTGGAAGGTTGAGCTGGGTATGGCATGAACTGTAGGGTGAACCCATGTCTTTTCCAGCATGATGGAAACTTTCCTTGACATCCAGTTTTACTGTCACCATGACACTTCTTTGTGAGGAGCTGATGTGAGGAGAGGAATAGGGAGGAGTTAAGACAGGGGAGAGCTCCAAGCTCCAGCTTGGTTCCTAAATCTTACGGACACAGAAAATACAGAGGGATGCCGTGAAGAGGACATTCCAGGAGCTGCCCCTGGGTCTCCAATTCAAGAGGTTTGCCAACGGCCTGGGGAGCAGCACCACTCCTAAGCATACTAGGTGAACTTTGCATAGTCTATGTTGATCACCGAACTGGTAATCAGGGGCTGTTGATGTCCGTCAAGGTTATCAAGGAAGGCAGCAGTGAGGAAAGAGGCAGGTGAGCTTTGTGACATGGTGACTAGTTCTGAAAACCCCTGAGCCCTAGGAGATCCAGTATGTGATGTATTTGGTGATCTCTGTATCACTAGAAGCACTTTCTGGGCTTTAGCATCACTGTTATGTTGAGAGGAAAGAAGATGCCAGAGCAAGTACCCTCCCTCATCCGGGGCACTCTTTACTCTGTATGTTAGACCTTCTGAAGTCCAGCACAGGCCTGTGGGTGGGGTGAGAACAGCCACTGGTGACAGGGACTGGTGCTACATCTCCTCTCCTAATGCAACCGAAAAAACTCGGTGTAGTAGTCTGACTTTCTGACAAATTCCGAAACTGAGTTTGCATCATTTCCTAAAGTTACCAAGCCCGGAAGAGATGAGGGACAGTAGGTGACTGAAATAGACCTCAATGGTGTAGACATATACACAGTAAGTGCCCCCAGGCCATGCTGGCCCCTTCTTTTAGATTCTTTTATAGTTCCTGTCAATTTCATTCCTCTTCTGCACTTCCAAGGCCTTGGCCAATGTCTGATGACTTCCACTCGGCACAGATTCACATGCAATGGCTTCATGTTCTGTCCATCAATGATTCATTCCCTTTGCCCACACTGTGAACGCCTTAAAGTCAGTCCAAGCAGAGAAGTCTTGGCATTCTGATATGCACCACAGTGACAATCACTCATGGCAACAGACTGTATACTTGGAATTTTCCCAGAGGGTAGAAGTTAAATGTCCTCATCTCCTGGCCTCTACCTCAAAAGAAAGAAAGGACAATAGTACACCACCAAGTGAAGGACACATTAATCAGCTCGACTGCGCGATCATTTCACCATGTATCTGTAAATTATCAGGTTGTACAATTTCAAGATTTGCAAGTATTTGTTTTGTTTGTTTTTGCAGTTCTGGGAATCAGACCCAGGGCTTTGTGCAGGCCAGGCAAATACTCTATTAATGAGCTACACTCTCAGCCCAACGTATACAGTTTTAATTTGGAAAAACATCCGTAAGGAGCATCTCCTAAGTTTCGTATGCATCCTGAACCTCCACAGTAAATAACGTGCACTCTCTCCATCAAACCTTATTAACCTGCTTGTTTACTGACATGAAAAACACTGTTCAAAGAACGGATGACTCCCATGACATGTAAACATGCTGAGGTATCATCCCACTGTTTAATATTTATTACCTGTTCCCCCACCCCAGGAAGAAAACTACAT